GATTAATTGGAGACTTTCCTGTGTGGTCTTGCTTTGAATCATGATCCTCAGATCCCAGCCTTCTGAGTAGCTAGAATTACAGGTGTGAGTCACTTGCACCAGCTCCTGAATTTTCTTTGTTGGAGTATTATCACTACTTCAGGCTATTGTTAATTATATATCTATTTAGGTTGCTTATATCTTCTTGGTTCAATTTTGGTAGGTCATATGCATCTAATAATTTCTTCTAGACTTTCAATTTATTGCATTATAAAATTTCAAGATATTCACTAGTGATCCTGCAGATTTCATTGATATCTATCGTAACATATTCATTTTATTGTTGAGTCTTCCCTCTCTTTTGGAAAGTGTGGCTATGGGTTTGTCAGTCTTACTGCCTTTTAAAAAAACATTTTGTTGCAATAATTCTTTGTATTGTACTTTTAGTCTGCATTTCATTAATTTCTGCTATTATTATTGTTATTATCATTGTTTGTTGTAGACCTGTGACTTGAATTCAGAGCCTGGACACTAATCCTGGGCTTTTGTGCTCAAAGCTGGTGCTTCACATGAGCAACACCTCCACTTCTGGCTTTTTGGTGGTTACTTGGATATTTCCTGCCCAGACTGGATTTGAACAATAATCCTCAGATTTCAGCCTCTAGAGTAGATAGAATCACAGGCACTAAGCTTTTGAATGGGTTTTGTAGGTCTTTTCAGTTTGCATCTTAGTTCCCTCTTCTATTGTACAAATTCATAGGTCTGAGCTCTTAATTATGCCCCAGAGATCTTGGACACTGTGATCATGATTGATTTTTTAAAAAAATTATCCATTTTTTGTCTGTCATGGGGCTTGAACTGAAGGCTTAGGTGTTATCTTTGAGCTCTTCTGCTCAAGGTTAGCACTCTACTATCTAGAGCCACAGTGCTACTTCTGGTTTTGTGGTGGTTAATTGGAGCTAAGAGTCTCAGAGACTTTCCTGCCTTGGCTGACTTTGAACTGTGATCTTCAGATCTTTGTCTCCTAAGTAGCTAGGATTCCAGGCGTGAGAAGGTGGCTCTTTTTTTTTAATGGAACCAGAAACGTGAGAGAATATTGAGAAGGTAGACAACTTTTTATATTGTGTTTCAGAAAGAGTTAAGGCCTCATCCACGTTGTTGCAATATGTGGAATTATCTTGAGGACCATTGGTGCTTTTCTGTGTCCACTCATACATTGGGAAACATCAGGGTTGCTGGTTGCTCAGGTCTTTACTAGTTTTAACTCTTTGAAGTTGTGTGTAATTAAAAAGGCATGATCTGGCTGGGTGAGGGTGGCTCATACCTTTGTTCCTAGCTATTCAGGAGGTTGAGATAAGAGGGCAGGAAAATCTGTGGGACTCTCGTCTCCACTAAACTACCAAAAAAATCTGGAAGTGGAGCTGTGGCTCAAGTAGAGTGCCAATTTTGAGCAAAAAAGCTCAGGGATAGTGTCTAGGTCCTTAGTTCAAGCTCTAGGACCGGCATGAACAAACAAACAACAACAAAAACGAAGGCAAAATTCTGTTGCAAATGAGAAAAAAATTCTGATAGTGAGAAACTAGATAACAGGATATATTTTCAGGAAAGAGAGAGAGAACCAGATTGCTTAATGTGCTGGAATACTGCTGGTGTTGCTGGTCCAAGAGCAAAGCTTTGATGATTCAATCATATCTGCAGAATTGTTCCATTTCACAGAAGTTTACAAAGTCATTTACTCACTGGGGATGACTCAAACAAAGCTTATTGGAACCAGGCTTGGTAGGTGAATATTCTGAATGTTGTAGCCCCTTAGAGTTTTAAAGCCCTGGGCTTTGAAACTATGCTGTGGGATGGTGTAGAAAGGTAAGGCAAAGGACAAAAGACCTAATACTTGTTTCTATTGGTCTGTGACTAGAATAATGCATGATTTCTGAAGGCATTTGATTATCCTTTTTGGATCAGTGAAGGGAATTAGGTATTAATTATCACGGTTTCTTCCTGGTCTTAGGAAGGTTGATTATGTGGCAAGTGGCAGGAACCCAACCAGCGAAAGAGTTAATGTTAGTAGTCTGGTCTGCTTTTCTCTTTAAGAGAAAAGAATCCAATAACCCTCACATTCTTGCATTCCATCTCCAAGAGGAAGAACACTTCTTTTCTACTATGCATTCCTAAATCACAATTCCACAATTAACTCATGCACCTATTCTTGAACTATTACTACAGGCAAGGGAACAATTCATGTTCCACACTAGAATTAGGGGTGAGGGAAATGAATGCTGGGAAAGCAAATTCTGAAATACTACCTCAGGAATCAGCATACTTTTTGGCAAGGGGTATGAGAGTAATATTTTAAGTTTTGTAGACCACATAGGGTCTATGTCATTTTTTTCCTCCCTTCTATGTTTTTAACTTTAAAGAAACTATAGAAAGCTTCCTAGCTTGTAGGCTGTACAAAACTGGTTGTGGGTTAGAACTGGTCTGTATATGAGCCATGGACTGCTGGGCCCTGAATTAGACTGTTTGCTTTCTTTCTTTCTTTCTTTCTTTCTTTCTTTCTTTCTTTCTTTCTTTCTTTCTTTCTTTCTTTCTTTCTTTCTTTCTTTCTTTCTTTCTTTCTTTCTTTCTTTCTTTCTTTCTTTCTTTCTGTCTTTCCTTTCTCTTTCTTTTTTCTTTCTTTCCTTCCTTCCTTCCTTTCTCTCTCTCTCTCTCTTTCTCTCTTTCTTTCATCTTTCTTTTTGGTCAGTTGTGGGGCTTGAACTCAAGGCCTGGGTGCTGTCCCTGATTTGTGCTCAAGGCTAGTGCTCTACCACTTTGAGCTCCACTTCTGGTTTTCTGGTGGTCAGTTGGAGATACATGTCTCACAGACTTTCCTGCCTCAGCTGGCTTTGAACTATGATCTTCAGATCTTAGCCTCCTGAGTAGCTAGGATAGCAGGTATGAGCCACAAATACCCAGCTTCTTGCTTGGATCTTTATTGCTTGACATTTATAAAATGAAGGGTCTAGACTAGTTAACTGTGAAGGTTTCAACATGTAATGGTGCAAAGGAAAACATTATGAACTAGCCATGTGGAAAGGAGAGATGAGGAGGGGAGGAGGAAGGAGAAGATGGGGAAGAGAGGGGAGAAAAGGAGGGGAAATTGTACCTATATCATGGGGCGACTGTGGAAACTATAAGGAGTTTTGGCAAGAAGCTTTCTGAAGAAAAGCTAATGACTAAAACAGACATAAGCACATCTTTCTCTGATGGAAGGAAGTTTTCCAGTTCCTTATCTTTAAAAGAAATTTCAAATGTTCCATCCTGCTGAAGACAGGAATATTCAGAATTCCTTTTCCAAAGGGTAATGTTTCACTATCTTTCAACTGAACAACTTACCTTTCACTAAACACATGGCAACCATGTAACTGGAGAAATTATCCTCTATGTAAATATTGTCCAGTAAATTAATCAAACTTCTCCTGAGCATCTGCTAGATGTCAGGTGCTTAGTTATAGGATGCAAAGATGGAGAACAGATGGCTTCTTCCCTCAGGGAGTTTTAATCTGGAGATGTTGAATGTGGCATCATTGAGATCTAATGAGAAAAAACAGAAACTTCTCTAGGTATTGAAAACGAGGGAATTCAATTAAAAAAATAATGGCTACATGGGTGATGAAGTTGTTAGGATGCCGGGGAGGGCGAGGTGACTCAGGAGATGGAGTGCAGGGTTGCTAGGGTAATCGTAGAAGCAGGGATGTATGGGAAGTGACGGGAAAGCCTGAGTTGACATGGAAAATGATGGAAACAGTATTGGAAACTGCAGAGTGAGGGCCAGAATTTCTGCCAGGCGATGATGTGCCATGGAAGGGTTTGGAGGAAGTGCTGGTTAGTAAGGAAATAAGAGGTGTGCTGAGGAGAGGGTCGCCAATATCACTTACAGGTGTGGTAGGCGCTGGCTTCTTGGTAGTTCAGAACCAAACTGTAGGGGACACTGTATCCACATGGGACTTACCAATGGAGGTAATACATTTCTAGGGTCAAAGGGCACGAGACTGACAGTTAATCATCAGATAGACATGTAATGAGTGCAAGTTTTAGAGGAACAACCAGGAGGGACACTCCTGCACCAGAGTTACAAAGATGGTGTTAGAAAATGGTGCCTCTGGGGGCCAAATCAATAAGCAGCCAGGAAGAGATGGCATGTAATCTATATAATCGAAAGAAATAAAAGAGGCTGGCTCACATCTTTAATCCTAGCTACTCAGGAGGCTGAGATCTGAGGATCTGGTTTGAAGCCAGCCCAGGCCTGAATGCCTGTGACTCTTACCTCCAATTAAAAACAAAAACAAAAAAAAAGCCAGAAGTAGAGCTGTGGCTCAAGTGTTAGAGTCTAGACCTTGAGTGAAAAATCTTAAGGGACAGTGCCCTGACCATAACTTCAAGCCCCAGTACCAGTCCCTCCCCACCCCCCAAAAAAGAAAGAAACAAACAAAGAAAGAGAATAGCCCTGGGACAGGGGGTAAAATGAGACCTTATTTGAAAACTAATCTAAAGCAAAAAGGACTAGAGATGTGGCTAATGTGGTAGAGTGCCTGTTTAGTAAGTATAAGGCCCTGATTTTAAACTGCAGTACTGAAAAAAAAATTAAGGAAAGGAAAATAAAGACATTGAAGATAGATGATATAGAGGCCAGCAGCAGCAGTCATTTTATTCTTCCATATCAGAAGAAATCCCTTGCTCACTTTTGCCAGATATGAGCCAGTTTCTCTCTCTCTCTCTTCCCAGGGGCTTGAACTCAGGGCCTGGGCACTGTTCCTGAGCTTTTATGCTCAAGGCTAGCACTCTACCATTTGAGCCACAGCTCCAATTTTGGCTTTTTGTTGGTTAATTGAAGACAAGACTTTTACAGACTCTCCTGCCCAGGCTGGCTTTGAACTTCAATCCTTAGATCTCAGCTTCCTGGGTAGTTAGGATTGCAGGTATGAGCCCCAGTACTCAGCTTGAGCCAGTTTTCTTTTTCTTTCTTTCTTTCTTTCTTTTTTTTTTAATGATGGTTGGATGCCATGAAGTAGGTGGCAAAGCTTTATCCGTATGTGTGCTGTCAGGGCCAAGGGCCTCTTCCATTCTTGTCAAGGGGAGTGTTAACCTCTCCTTTCATACAACATTTGAGTCCATTTTTAAACAGGAACTGGCAAGGTCTGGAATGTCCTTGCCTCCTAACAGCTGGTACAAGCAGCAGTGATTCATTCAAGCTTCATTTGTAAGTCTCCTCAGATAGACACATGGCCAGTGACTTGAGTAGCTATTCACTGGGGAAAGGGGAATGATCAGATATTTCAAAGACAGAATTCTAGTGTCAACAGACATCTAGAGACCAAAGCATCACCATGGTGATGCTCTCTGTCTCTAGACAGAGGAGTCATGCTCCTCTGTAAGTGTGATGAACCAGGGCCTAGCCACAGTCCAGTTCCCAATGGCTCTATGAGGTGTGTGTCCTCTTCCTGGTATCACGTGTGAGCTTCTCAAATGCGTAATTGGGTTGACAGTGTTCATAGGTGGTTTAACCCATACACTTGGGCTGAGGAAGAGTGGGGAAAGCCCTGATAGGTAGTCAGTTAAAGACTGCATCTCCTTTGAAGGGAGGAAATGATGATACCTTAAAAACTTAGAGGGTGTAGATCTGTAGTCCTAGGCCCATCTCCATTCTGAGTAGACAAATGGGGGATGTCTGTCCTGGGAAGTCCAGTGGATTCTGGGAAGTGACGATGGAGTTCTGCCACCTCAGCGACACAGTAGCTGCCGCTGGGCACAGATCCTGGATGTGGGGATCTTTGCTAGAGCAAAGGTCAGTCGAAACCCCATCTGTGCCAAAAAACCCCAACAACAACAACAACAAAACTTCCCCTTCATTATTAGTCAAAGATCAAACATTCACAGAATCTCCACTATATATGCCTACGAGGGCAGATAAGAGAGAAACCTTGTCAAATAAATGGACATTCATGAACACTGCTCTAGAGATGCTGAGCTGGAAATAGTGCTTTCTCTGCCCCTGCCTTCACTCACGATGCCAAGGGCGGGCTTTGTGTCATGTGACCCAATTCCTTTCTCCAGGGTAAGTTGCACCAGGGTGAGTCCCCCATTTCTGGAAATAGTCATTGTTGGTTGGTCAGAAGCCAGTGATTTTTGATGGAGGAGCCAGGTCCCAATGACATGCTCCACTCAGCTTATGGAATGCCAAGACCAAAACGGAGCTGGCTAGCTCTGTACAAAGATAGAGGCTGCTCGGGACTGGCCAGGGAATTCTCTGCAACAGCTTTGTAAGTCAGTAGGATGCAGCTGGAGCATTGGAAGAAGTTGGGGTGAGGCGAAGCGGGGCTGAGAGGGACAGGAAACTTGATCCACCCTGGCTTTCCAGCCTGGGATCCTGGGGAGCCTGGCTGCGCGCTTTGGTTCTTACCTTTGAGCTTCATGACAGACTTCTGAGGAGATTCCTTAGTTGAGATAAGTTGAGTGGATCTTTTTATCTTGCAAGCAAAGAGCCTGTCTAGAATTGAAGCTTGAGGGGTTTTACTCTGGGTCTGATTCATCACATCACCTTAAAAATTCTTTTTTCCTCTCCTCTCTCTCTTTTATTAGCATATATTAATTGTACAAAGGGGTTTCATTGTGATAGTTCCATATATGTATTTAATGTATTACATCACTTTCTTTCATGTATTATCAGAGATTCCTTATGTTATGTTTTTATCTCTCCACTTAAACTGTGAGCTCTTTGAGATCAATGTTCTGTTGTATTTTAGGGAAGGCTAATGCTAATAGTGGTAATAAATTATCAGTAGTAATAGCTCATATTAACGGAATTTTTGCTCTGTAGCAGACATTGGGTGAGATGCATTCTATGCCCTGTTTTTTAAATTAGTAATTACTCTGTTGTGAGTTATTATTATTGTCAACAATTATCCTGTTTTCTCTGACTATACAACAAAAGAAAAGTATGTTTGTAAAAAAAAAAAGAAAGAAAAAGAAAAGTAAGCTTGTAATACAGCTGGAAGGAGGAAAAGAAGTATTTATTTTGGAGGTAATAGTTTTTTTTTTAAGATTCTTCTTTTCAACAAAAGTCATACGTTTTTATAGAAAAATTGGAAAATACAAAAAAGCATGCACACACAGAATCATTCTTATTTTTACTATTGCAGATAACCATTGTTAATATTTATGTGTAAATTCTTCTGGTCACACACATGCACACTCACAAGCTTGTGTACACATGCACACATAAATGCATATACGCACACGTGCACTCACACAATCACACCCATATTGTTTTGTGATTCTTTTTGCCATTGTAAAATCGGAGCCCTTCCCTTGCTGTGAAATATTCTTCTTTGACACCATCTTTCTTTGTGTGTGCCAGTGCTTGAACTCAGTGGGAACGCTTTCACTTGGTTTTTCCTGCTCAAGACCACTGCTCAGTGCCACTTGAGCCACCCCTTCACTTCCTGCTTTTTGGTAGTTAAGTGGAGCTAAGGGTTTCACTGACTTTCCCGTTCCAATTGGCTTCTAACCGAGATCCTCAGATCTCAGCTTCGTGAGTAGGTAGGATTACAGGCGTGAGCCACCGGCACCCAGCATATGGTATCATTTTTAAGAGCTCCAAGTTTTCCTCCACCTGCTAATGGTCAGGGCAGACGTGTAAGCAGGGGACCAAAGGGCCCTGGGAGGTTGTGCTTGGGAACTCAGACCTCTCTGGACTGTTCGAGGGATACTTCTGCCTGGAGTGAGGGGGAGGGCCTCTGGAGGGCACTGTGTCCCCAAACTTATTCTAAGAAACAAAAAAATTACTGCATCTCTTTGATATCCTCACTCCTGCTGTTTTTTTTCTCTCTGTTGTTTTGGAGATTTCCCCCCCCCCCCCCTCAGATATGCCTCGAGGATCCCGATAAGCGGTTCTGCACTGGACCTTGGCTTCTGGATGGGGTGCAGAGGGTCTCTGTTGGGTCCGGCTCTGAGTCTTCAGTATCTTGTTAATTTCCCTGTGCAATACCACTACTTGCCAGGAGATGGCGCTGCCAGCAAGTGTGTCTGCTTAGGTGTGATTTACACAAACCCTTGAAGGCTTTAAATATTTATCTGCAAAATTCAATAAAGCTGTTCATCAAATCTAATGCTCGGAATTTGGGCAGGCCATGAAAACATTATAATATTCTGCCCGAGGCTTCAGAATCCTCTTCTGCATGGTGTGTTTGTGGATGCAGATTCCCGATACTTGAATCTTATCGGCAGGCAGGAATTCATGCGACATATGAAAGGTTTTGTATGAGAACAGTCTTGGGAAACTCCCTCAAAATGTTCACTAGATTTTGTGGGGATTTCAAGCTCTTTTCCTGATTAAGGAGTTGCTGACGTCCAGTTTGGTATGAGGTTCGATCCTTTCCTGTATTCTCAGTATCTAACAAGTACCAGCAGAGAAGAAGTACTCCATGAACAGGTGAATTCAGGGAAGATCAGATGGATATGATTATTCTTTATTTTGAGAGCACATGTAGTGCTGTGTGTGCACAGTGCGTGTGTGCGTGTGTGTGTGTGTGCCTATGGGTGGTTCTGCTCCTCTTTAAGGATGCTATAGCTTGTATAAATATGCCTTAAAGATCCATATTTTAAAGGTGTGTCAACCAGAGTCGAGCTTTTGGGAGGTGTTGGAAACTTGAGTGGGTGGAGCCTAGTGAGAGGTCTTTAGGTGATTGGGGCCATGTCCTAAAGGGGGATTGTGGAGTCTCTGCCTCTTCCTTTTTCCCTTTCCTCCTGGCTGATGAGGTGAAGGGCTTTCCTCCACTACATGTTCCTGCCATGATGTATTGTACTGCCACAAGCCAATAGTCAGTAGATCATGGACTAGAACTTCCAAAGTGGAGCCAAAACAACTATTTTCTCTTTCTAATTTGACTATTTCTGGCATTGCATTATAGCTACGGAAAGCTGATGACTATAGAGGAGTTTGGAGTAGTATCTGATTGTCACAACAATGGAGAGCGTAGAGAGGAGAAGGGAGGGCATGGAGTGGGCAGAGTTGAAGGATGTTGAACATGCAAGAAACAATTCAGCATAGATACTCACACCTTTAGCTATCCCTTTGAGAAGCCCCTGCATGGCTTCCTTTGTAGCTGGGGAATTAGACAAGCATAAAATTCTCCCCAGTTGTCCACATCTGTAAAATAGAGATGTAAACAATTATGTAATTAACCCAGACTTATTGTAGGTTTCAAATAAGTGACAGAGACTAAGCTACTTCTTGCAAGTTATGAAACATTACATGACATAGTGACCTTCTTTGGTCCACAGAGATGCTTGAGCTTGGTTTCACTGGCCTGTTAAGCAGGTGAGGCCTGAATCACACAGGTAGGACTCACACCTGTTCCTACTTGAATCTTCAACATATCTGTTGCTAGCTCCTCTCTCTCCAATTGCTCAAGCTTTCTTTCATCCTTTTTTTCCACTTCTATTTCTGAAGTCCAACCCCTCAGTAATGATACACATTCTAGTCCAAAGTTAGCTCAGACATGTTTCTTCTCTTCTATCTTTCCTGCGTGTGCTCTCAGCCGGCATGACCACTGAGCTGAGTGAGCTGCCGAGGCTGGCTGATCTCAGGCTCTCACACTTGCCTTCTCTATGGAATTCTATGTAGCAGCCAAAGTGGCACTGAGGTCTGTGCCTTGGATTGTGTCATTTCCCTGCCTAAACTGTCCACTAGCTTCCCACTACCCTCAATGTTAGGGCCATTAGCTCTGAGGCCTTTCAGGCTCTGCTCCCCACCAGATACCATCTTGGACTTGCTACACAGCTCTCTGTCCTTACTGCCAATGCCCAGCTCTGTCTGAACATTTGGCCCTTGGTGTTCTCTCTACTCAGAATGTCCTCTCTCAGTTCTCATCTGTCTTCAAGTAGCAATCCAAGTCAAGTATCACCTCTCAAAGAGGCAGCCACTATCCTGTTGGTATATTCCAGTCCTGTTAGTCATTGAATCTCTTATCCCCTATAAGTTCTTTTACAAGCTCAGTTCTCTCTGAAGTCATCCATTTGTTCTGATGTGCTTGTTAGTTTTCTGTATAACAATTTACTGCCATAACATAGGTGTGGAGGTTTATATCTGTAATCCTAGCACTAG